AGGAGACTACTGGGCCCTCCCCTTCCTCTAAAACTTCAGATTGCCAGTGACTACAATGAAACTTGTAAGAGAAAGGGAAAGTCACAATTAGTAAACATCACCACTACAGAGAGAAGCAAAAATCTATTTCAATTCACACCTTCTTACCTTACCGTGATTAACTTCAGCTAACTGATGGCTCCACCCTGAGCCTAACGAGGCACAGGTGGTCTGACTCAGCCTGATGACAGTAGAAAATGTGTAACGGTAACGAGGGGACCTCACAGTCCTAATGTCTAATATTGGTTTAGGTGAGGGCCCAGACGGCCCCGACATGATGGGAAGTCTCCTTCAAATCAACCCTCCATTTTTAAAGGATGCTGTGCAGTCAGTTTAAGCCACGCTTCTCTGTGTTTCACCAGTTAGAGCGAGCTGCGTGGCATCAAGCGGCTGGTTGCTGTGTTTTGCAAATTTTGAACAGCATCAATCGTTTCTGCAAGTGCCCCGAAGCTACGTGTGATTATGTTCAGCCCGTGATTATGGTGCGACAAAGTCCACCAAGACAACAAAGCTCCCCTACTATTAAATTGTAAATTCAGTATTTTTCATCCTGGACCCTATTTCCCCATATTTTTGAATCTAAGTGATTTATGAGAGTAGTCACTTTTTTAAACTGGTCTAGCACAGAGTTAGAGAGCGGCAGCCACTAAACGCTCTACAATGTACAGTAATCCTTTCCGGCAATACCTCACTTACTTCAAGTGCTTGTTGTTCACCACTGACAGGCTCAGATTATAATAACTGTCCGACAACATTATGGAAAAAGACCCTTCAAAGAAATAAAATGTTTTTTTACGTCAAACCAAGTCTCGCTCAAGTAGAAGTCTTGTTCTGAGATCTTGGGAGAGGTGACTTGTTGTTGGAAGACAATGGTGGAAAGGTGAGTAAGAGTTGGAGAGAGGCGTGTCAGTTAGTACAGAAAGTGTGGCTTAGTGGTATCTAAAAAGTGATCAATATCATGGCTGAATATTTTCCTGATTTCGACAATGTGGATGAGGCCTAACCCTCTCCTGAGATTTCAGAATGAGACTTGGTTGGACACAATAGCAGACAGACTGGATCAAGCAAAAGGACATGCAAAAGAGTTTTAAGACTGGAGCTCGGGGAAACGGAACTCCAGAGACCGGGTGTCGTGGGAACGGAACTCTAGAGACTGGAGCTCATGGGAATGAAACTGTAGAGACCGGGTGTCGTGGGAACGGAACTCTAGAGACTGGAGCTCGTGCGAACAGAACTCTAGAGACTGGAGGTCGTGGGAACGGAACTCTAGAGACCGGGTGTCGTGGGAATGGAACTCTAGAGATCGGGTGTCGTGGGAACGGAACTCTAGAGACTGGAGCTCGTGCGAACGGAACTCTAGAGACTGGAGGTCGTGGGAACGGAACTCTAGAGACCGGGTGTCGTGGGAACAGAACTCTAGAGACTGGAGTTCGTGCGAACGGAACTCTAGAGACTGGAGGTCGTGGGAACGGAACTTTAGAGACCGGGTGTCATGGGAATGGAACTCTAGAGACCGTTTGTCGTGGGTACGGAACTCTAGAGACTGGAGCTCGCGGGAACGGAACTCCAGAGACTGGAGCTCGGGGGAACGGAACTCCGGAGACTGGAGCTCGGGGGAATGGAACGCCGGAGACTGGAGCTCGGGGGAAAGGAACTCCGGAAACTGGAGCTCGGGGGAACAGAACTCTAGAGACTGGAGATCGGGGGAACGAAACTCCGGAGACTGGAGCTCGGGGGAACGGAACTCTAGAGACCGGGTGTCGTGGGAACGGAACTCTAGAGACCGGATGTCGTGTGAACGGAACTCGAGAGACTGGAGCTCGGGGGAACGGAACTCTAGAGACTGGGTGTCAGGAGGACGGAACTCTAGAGACCGGGTGTCGTGGAACGGAACTTTAGAGACCGGGTGTCGTGGGAACGGAACTCTAGAGACTGGAGCTCGCAGCTTGTTTGGAAAAATCACAGAATATTTTCCTGCTCTGCTCCACTCTGACAGTTATGCCCTCACTCTAGCTCTTAACGAGCCGTGCAATACACACCCATTATAAAATCTGAAACGGACCCAAAATTTTCCTGAAACTTAATCTGTGACTTCATGAAAACTGTGCTAGCTTTCAAAATATCCATTTGGCTCAATAAAGTGCAGCGTTTTGTCTACGTTTTAAACTTTGAATCATGTTTCTACGTTAATGTATGGCTAGTCAATATGGGCCCAAAGTTAAGTGTTTTTTTAGCTCTCTTCACGCCGAAACCCCATTCTAGTGAATGGAGAACTTTTGCTCCGTTTTTTGGGATTTTCGGGAAAACCGCTGGGCTTAACAATTCAAAAAGTTTAAAGATCACAAATATGAAGTCATATCACCCCTCTCCTGAAAGAGCTGAACATTTTGATATTCAAACGGTTTCTGTAGCTTAAAAAAAATTTCAGCGGTAGTGATATTTGTTGTAGTAGTAGTAGAAGTTGTAGTTGTAGTAGAAGTATTATTAGCAGTAGAAGTATTAGTAGCATTAGAATAAGTACAAGTTGTAGCAGTAGTGATATTTGTAGTAGCAGTAGAAGTTGTAATTGTAGTAGAAGTAGTACTAGTAGTAGAAGTAGTAGTATCAGTAGTCGTAGTAATAGCTGGAGTAGTGGTCGTAGTATTTAATATAACAGTAGTAGCAGTCGAAGTAGTAGTAGTAATAATAGCAAAGTCAGTTTTTGAAGTAGCAGTAATAGCACTAGTAGTACTAGTAGCAGTCGTACTAATAGCTGTAGTAGTATTAGTACTGGTAGTAGCAGCAATAGCAGTAGTAGTAGTAGCAGTTGTAGTATAAGTAATAGTAGTAGTGGTAGTAATAGCAGTAGTGGTAGTAATAATATTGATGGTGGCAGTAATAGCAGTAGTATTAGTAGTAGTAGTAATAGTAGCAACAGCAAAAGTTGCAGTAGAAGTGGTAGGAGCAGTAGTAGTAGTTGTAATACTAGAAATATTAGCAGCAGTAGTAGTAGTTGTCGCAGTATTAGTAAGAGCATTCATTATTTCAACAAAAAAGCCTAATTTTGAGCTTAACGTTTAAATTCAGTTAATCCATGAGGCTTATATTTTGAAAGGGTGGGACTGGGTGGGGGAGAAAGGAGAGGAGACAGAATCAGAATGTATGAAACACACAAACCGAGGTTATTAAATGACAGGCTTCATCACAAGAATTCCAGTTAGATTTCACTGTGTGGGGCTTTTATTTTGAAAGGGTGGGACTGGGTGGGGGGGAGAGGAGACATAATGTTAATGTTTGACACATAAACAGAGGTTATTAATTGACAGGTTTCACCACAGGCATTTCAGTTAGAATTCACTCTTTGGGGCTTTTATTTTGAAATGGGGTGGGGGGGAGGGAAGAGGATGCAGAATCATAATGTTAGATAAACATAAACAGGTTATTAAATGACAGGCTTCATCACAAGCATTTCAGTTAGAATTCATTTTGTGGGGCTTTTATTTTAAAAAGGGGTGTGTGTGTGTGGGGGGGGGAGTCCTCTTAAAATCTGAATGAGAGAGAGAGATAGAGAGAGAGAGATCTCTGGCAAACTTTCTCATTTGGAGATTGTCCTATGTTTTATCATTTACAGCTTACATAATTATTGTCCTGCTCTGCGATGTCTTTCCTCCTGGTGTGTGCAAATGTCACTCGAATCAGGAAACTTATTAGAATACCCATATTTGATTGGCTGAGCTGCATCACGTATATCTCTAAATGTGTCTAAGTGCCTCTGTTTGTTTATCAACATCACTAATGAGCTCATATAAACACCTGTGTGCTTGGGTGCATGTTGGTGATTGGAGCACCTGTGTGTTAGAGGCTAATTAAGAGAGATTAGAGTGAACAGTGATTTTCAACAAAACTACCTGTCAAACATATGCCCTTTATACCAAAACCATGAGACTAATCAATAAAATATGGATTCCGTGAGAAAGATAAGACAAGAAGACTTAATGTGCTATTACATGAGCTCTCTCTGTCTGTCTCTCTACACACACACAAGACTTGGAGGCATTGTACTCCTGTCTGTCTGTCTCACTCTCTTCTCTCTCTATCTTTCTATCTATATATCTCTCTCATACAGTCATTCAGGTCTATGAGATTTTGAGAGGACTTTTCCCTTTCAAAATGTTCAGCTCTTTCAGGAGAGGGGTGCTTTGACTTTTCATATTTGTAATCTTTCAACTTTTTGAATTATTAAGCTATTTGCAATTTTCTTTTGAATGGGATCTCTATGGAGAAAATCTTCAAATCCTGTTAAACTTCTTCAACTTTCAAAGCCTTCTTCTTCCTCATACTTTCAGCTGCAGACACCATAGTTAGACATTTCAACTAGAAGGGTTTCAGCAGTGCAGTTTAAATGCTTTCAGGCTTCAACATTTTTCTGACGGGTAGTCTCCCATTTCTGTATTTTCAGCAATGTTTATGTTATCATCATTCCAATGCATTTTCAGCAGGAAATGCATTTTCTAGTTGTCTTTAACATCTGATGCGCCCACAAATCTAGTTGTTTTTCAACACACACACACATACGTGCATCGCCGGTCATTATCCAAACAAGGCACTCGACTTAGCTCGACCTTTCCTATGAGTCTCTTCAAAGTTGAAACCCTCCCTCACAAACACCTGTGCTTCTCTCGCTCTCACTCTCACTCTCTCATTCTCTCTTCCCACCGCTCTCTGTGAGGCATCTGCGGCTGCAGCTGTGGGTGCGAGGCAAAAGATGGTGTTAGCTCTCTCCCCGCTGTCAAGAGGCCTCACATCTAGTCCTCCCGCCTGCGTCCGCCTGCGTCCACCTGCCAGAAGCCGTGTGCGTGACTGCCAGAAAAGGAAAACAAACATCTGCCTCATTCACCGCTAATGTGGCATTGTATTGAAAAAAACGATACAACAACAGCAACATATATTTTAAATAGATCTGTCCTTCCTCTGTTTCCTAGGTAACCGAGACAAGGACGGGCCCTCTCGGCTGCAGTAACTATGACAGCTTGGATTCGGTTAGCTCGGTGTTGGTGCACAGCCCGGAAAATAAGATCCACCTAAAGGGTAAGGCTGGATAACACACCCACACACACTTTCATACACACACACTATCTCTCAGGTATGTTCATCTTAAATCTGTGCACGCACACACATCCACACACATCCCTGAAGAAAAAGGTCTGCAGAAGGATTTGACAACACATTGCAGCCACCTCCATCCGCCACCCTGCCAAGCCTCTGACCTCCTGTGTGTAGTAGTTGGCCCGGGATGACCCTTTACTTTACGCTGCAGTAGTTTATATGTCTGTTCTGCCTGACCGGCTCTCAGTCTCCCGGGGGAAAACTGGTATCTTGCCGAGCTGTAGATGGACCGTATCCAGCCACGCTGACCCCTCCCTGACCCCCTTCCAACTGCACCTGGAACACTAGGTGCAGAAGGAAAACTATAGAGGTAATCCGTGGACAAGCACTTTGTGTTAAATAAAAGTTGACATTATATCGGGCCACAAAAAGAAGTCTGGGCAACATTCTTGGCTTAAAAAACAGACGTAATCCTGTGGGGAGATCATGCGTTCGGTCGTGTGTGCATCCGTATGTCTGTCCATGGCTAATCTTACATGCAAATGCACTAATCGGGTTAATATTTGTTTCGTGCACATATATGACCGTATCTATCATGGTTGCAGTTATTCACATTTATTGACCGGCAGGCAAGAGATCACCAAGTGCTTAATCATTCAGAGAAAACAGAGAAATAAGATAGAAACGATAAAAATATCAACAATATATAAACAGTAGGGTGATAAGAGTGTAGAAGAAGTAACACTGACACCAGCTCAAAATAGAATAGCAATAAGAGTGAGGTAAATAGAGAGAGTAAGTAAATAGTTCAACTGAATTGCAACAACATACGATTAAAAATAAGAATAAAAATACAAAGTGTATAAGAAGTTGTGCATTCTGCTAGGCTAGGAACAGGCACACATTTTGGCCTTTGTCGTGGCTCAAAAACTGACATCCATAGAAAAGTTTGGCCTCTTTTTTTTTTATTTATATATTTTATATTAAATTAAATCCTCCGATATGTTATGATCCAATAAAGTAAGGCCCGATACAAAATGAAGAAGTCCTTGTTTTTGTCACATATCGCTGCCATCTTGACTGAAAGGGAGCCCGGAGGGACATTTGAGTGAGATTGAACTCCCGTTTGTTTGGGAGTGGAGAGGGAGACACACCGAGCAGAGCTCCGTGATCTACTGAGTGCACTTTTCCTATTGACTTTGCAACACCACGGCGCTATTCAGTTTAATGTTTTCAGTTTTGCAGCAATACATACAGTATAGTCTTAACTATTTACTTTGTGGAAAACAAACCAGTGTCACAGTGTCAGCCGGGCCCACATTCACATTGAGCAGGGCCCATCTACCAACTCATGTCTACATCTCACTCATCAAGATCTATTACTTCACTAGCAGAGTGGTATTCTTGTTAGTCATTACCATGATACAAGTATAAAATAATCACCTACACTAAGGGTTAAATCTTTCATAAGGATTGGAGCATAGGTGTGAAAGCTGTGGGCGGAGTGAATAGATATGAATAAAGGATCAACTTTAAGGTTACAGTGAGGAGCAGTCATTAGCATGGCTAATTCAAAGCATTACCAGCCAACGTTGGTGATCTGGGAAATGAGGCTGTACCTGTACTGGATAGCGTCTGATGTGTTGTACCACGTCTGCATCAGCAGGTCTGCTTGGATCCTAATGAAACCAACTAATGGCAACCGCCCCCCCTCACCGGTCCGTCAGGCTACCGTTCGCTACCAAATGAGAACACAAATGGCATTAGAAACGAGCTGACGTTTCAGTCGGTTCACGGCCACACAGTTTGGTTATAATTAAAATGAATTATGACTCTACTTCTCTCTTGATTTATTGCCTCAGTAAACATTGTAAACATGAGTTTATGGTCTCAATCTCTAGTTTCAAGTCTTCTTCAACACAACATGATGTTCATTTAGTAAATTATGGTCCATTTAGAGTCAGATACACTACTACATCTCACCTTATATCTCTAAAAAGGTTAGTGTTTATTGTTTTGTTTTATTAATAAGGATTTTATTAAGAAGGACGTGTTTGTCCTTCCTGTTTGGTTTAGTTTGGTTGTATCTCCATATTTTTCAATAAAATAAAATAAAGACATATTTTGAAATCTCTGCAGTGTATACATGTATTACACTAAGAATGGACTTTTGGCTTAATCATAGATTCAGGATATTTGAGTTGGGGGAGAACAATGTGGAAAACCCATATTTAATAAGAAATTGAGTTTATGCTTTAAAGCATACCTGAAAACAATCTTTTACAGTAGATTCAGTCTGGTACCCCTCATGTTTAGTCTTATCACAATGTTAGGGTCACTGGCTCTCAGGGTCATTTCCCTTGGATTTTCAATGGGGTCAGCGTTTTTAGTTTTCAGGGGTGTCGAACCAGCTCGTCGCCATCTTCTGTTAGATGAAGCGACGCAAATATCATTTCTAAGGGAATCTGTGGATTGTATCACTTTATGTGTTAATAATCCATTAGCAGATATTACTTCTACTTCTAAAATACTTCTGAAATGATGATCAAAACTTTCTTGAAAATGGTTTTTAGCACATACCGGAACATTACAGGCTTGTGGGCAAACACAAATATTAAAAGAGCATAAACGAAAGCAGAGAATATCTCAATAGCATTATGCTCCCCGGCCACCCAGCCTTAAGAGGATAATCACTAGCACTGATCTGTAACCTCCTCCAAAAAAGGAGTCAAAGGGGGACAAAACTTTCTCGTAATTTAATTTAATTTCGTCCTTGGGACTGTCCTAATCCCGAGTGTGAGGTGTCACACGTTTCATTGAGCCACCGCTTCACAGTGGCTACACTTCAGATTTCTCCAAAGCTGAAGTGTAATTTGCTTTGCCATTGTACGGCCAAAGGTAATAGTGTTGTTGGAATGCAGTCGGCGTGCCCTATGCTTCTGAAGTGATGAGTATTATCAGCATGGGATCTGGCTGCGGTGCGCCGTCGAACAAAGTGAGAAAAATAACGGCTCTTTGTAAAACTCCTGTCTTGGATAAGGCCTTGAGAGTTTTCTTTTCTGTGTATGAATGTGTTTTATATACATTTATTAAGGAAATAACCTCCCATGACGCACCTGAAAACATTTAAAACTGAAGTTAAGGCTGCATTACATGTCTGTAATAACATGGTGTCAAACCATGTATGATGTGACAGTCAGTGGTCAGGCGGTTCTCATTCTGTACTGTACTATATTTCGGGTACAAACCACACAATCAGCTTGTACTTATTCTACATAAACCTGACCCAGGGAGGGTGTTGTAGTAAAAGAGGTCTAGCGAGTTCGGTTGGACGGGTGGGTCTTAAAAGCACCAGATATTCAACTAGGAGACCCCCGTTCATGTGTGAAACCCTGCAGTCAATGTTGAATAATTTGACACGTAACCTTAGTACAAAATAACTCCATTCTGTAGTTATTTCAACCTAATTTGTTACATAACTTCCATAGTTGTTTACCCAAACGTTGACTTTTATGTCATGTACATTCTGTTCTTAAGTTATGCCATTTCTATAGATATTTTAACCCCAAAACTGACTTATTTGTCACTTAACTTCCATAGCCAAGTAACGCCATTTCTGTGGTTATCCTAACCCAAACGTTGACTTGCTCTGTACTTATGTAACACCAGTACCATAGTTATTTGAACACAAATGTTATTTTTCATCTTCTGTTTTTAAGTAATGCCACTTCTTTAGTCATTTTTACCCACACCCCCATCTTTTCTTAAACCTAACCAGGTAGTTTTGATACCTACACACTATTGGCTGAAAAAGAACAAAATAACTCTTTGTAAGATCTCATACTAACCGTTGTCTAAGGATGTGTTGCACTGGTGGAGAAGAGCTCACAGAAAATGATCTCTCAGCTCAGCATTCCCCCGCAGCTTCACAGATTGTTCAGTGCCAGTGGAAAAAAAGCACAATTTCACACCGCGGTGTCAGCAGTGGTGTGTGGAGGACCCAAAACAATAAGAAAATATTAATAGCACTGCTCTCAACAATGTGAGACAATGCTCTGTACTGTGACACGAATAAAGAAGGAATGGTTAAACATGAAGTTAGATGAAAAAAAAGAAGTGGCCCTTGACTAATAAGAGAGGCGGTCATGGAGATATAGACTTGATAATGTTGTAGACTACAGTACAGGATGTTACGCTATAAGATGAACAGAGGATGATACTGATTGGATTCCTATTCTTCTGTTTTAAAGGTCTGATAGCTGCATGGATAGATATCACCTGTTTCCAGCAAAGCACAAATATGAACATCTCTCATGTTAAACAACTGTTGTGTTTCAAAATAGACAAATAATAATGTGTTTGTGTCGGGTCCCTCACATTAAGAGGCTGGCTAAGAAAATAGATTTTAAGGACAGTCAAAGTATTACATTGAGCTATAAATAATCTATATCTGTATTTGTAGTTCAAGAACAATGAGTTTAAGGAAGATATATTTGTGGGTATGTTAAGGCATTGGTTGTAGATTAACTGTAACTCTTTGCTGACATTAAATTTCCTAAATGCACTATATGTATATGCACTGTCTATACGTGTACAGCGCTTTTCTAGTCTTTACGACCGCTTTCACACTACATGTCATCATTCACCCATTCGTACACTGATGGCGGGGGCTGAGTGCCACCTGCCCATCAGGACTAACTAACATTCACACACTGCAGTAACTGCTACGGGAGCAATTTTGGGTTTAAGTGTCTTGCTCAAGGACACATCGACATGCGACCAGCGGAGCCGGGAATCAAACCGCAGATTCTCTGATTGAAGGATGACCCTGCTCTCCACTTAGCCACAGTTGCCCCGTTATAGAGCTGAAGTTTCTGTCTATCTACTAATGGTGTGATTCATGATGCGTTTGCTTTATGTTGATTTTGTAATGGGATTGGAGAACCACCGCAATGTCCGAGGGTAAACTTAAGCCTCTCATT